AGAGAGAGAGGGAGTGAGAGAGAGAGAGAGAGAGAGAGAGAGAGAGAGAGAGAGAGAGAGAGAGGAGAGAGAGAGAGAGAGAGAGAGGAGAGAGAGAGAGAGAGAGACAAGGAGTGAGAGAGAGAGGGAGAGAGAGAGAGCGCACGCAGGGGTAGAGGCTACCGGCATGCATCCATTGATTTACATTATCTTAATTAACGTTTACTGCGCTGGGGGCCTTTTACACCCCCCTCAGCTCCAGGTGAGCCTACCATAAAACAGGCGGGCCTCCTCTTAGACTTTAATCATGCTATAGCCCAAAGTGCTCCAGAACCCAATGAGCACTATGAAAAACCGCTAGCCAAGTCTCGCTAACGCTACACCCACCCTTCCCCCAATCAATCCCCAACATTGTTATTACTGAGCTATGAGGCTATGAGCCTCAGTCATTCCCTGCTCTATAGTAGACGCACGCACACACACACACACACACACATGCACACACACACACACACACACACACACAGTGATGTATGTATAATAACGGTAGGTGTTAGTGACCCAGTGTGTGACATGTGGCTACACTGATGGAGCTACCAGCCTATTAAAGTTAAGAGAGAAGACAGATGAGTGGTAACACAGAACAGCCATTCAGCAGTACTGAGAGGGGGATTTTGGGGTTCCTAGTTCCCAAGCAGAGCCTCGAGTGTAGCAGTGTTAATTAACTATTGAACACAGTTAAGGAAATAATTTGGCCTTTTGTGAATCAAATTGGACTGTTTTAACTACACAATGGAGTTTACAAATCAATGTGTGTTGTGTTTGTGTGTGTTTTGTGACACTAACGTTGGACTGTTTTTTTTCCCGCCAGACAGTCGAGTTTTAAAAGACAAATCACTACAAAGAATGCTACAGTAGCTTTCTGATGAATCTGAAGCTTGAGGTGATGAGGGACACCGAGACCAATCATGTTGGTGTCTCATTTCAGTGAAAATATAAATAGTAGACGGTTTGTTTTTGTAGCGAGCGAGAGAGGAGTGTGTGTGTGTGTGTGTTGTCTAGCGAGCAACAGCCTTGGATGATAATGGAGAACCATCAGTCTTTACACTGACCTGGAGGCAAGCAGACATCTGGGGAGAAACAAAACCAGACACACAGACAGACTTGCAGCTGGTGGGAGTGTGTGCGTTTGAGGGAGAGTGTGTGTGTGTGCGCGTGTGCGTGTGTGTGCATGAATGTGTGTACAGTATGTGTGTCTGTGGAGGCAAGTGTGGTGGTGCTGGGTGAGATATTGCTGGCTCTGCAGTGCTATTCTGGGCGATGGAGAGATGTGAGGGAGGGAGGGACGTCTGACCACCAGTCTAGCCCCAGGAGAGGAAGGGCAGAGGGGGTGAACAAGGAGCCTGGAATGGGGCTCTGGAGCTGGACTGGTAGAGAAACCTTGGGGCAGTAAGTCTGCAGTTTCCTGGTTCTCAACTAATACACTCAGTCTCTGCCTGTTCACCAGCTGCCCTTCTCAGAACACTCACACACACTCACACACATGCCCACGCACCCGCAACAATATTTTAACTGATTCCTTTGGGAGAAGCAGGAAGCTGTCCTCGGATAAATAATTGCCCATATGGTAGTGATTGGGGAGTCTGAATGGTGACAAATTGTTATCCATACATTACTTTAAAACCAGTCTCTGTCCCAAATGGCACCCTATTCCCTATATAGTGCACTACTTTTGACCAGGGCCTATAGGAGCGATTTGGGACACGTCTTCAGTGTGACTAAAGGGGACAACCCTACTGATGAGGTATTCAGAAGCCATAATAAGAAGAAGAAGAAGAAGAAGAAGAAGAAGAAGAAGAAGAAGAAGAAGAAGAAGAAGAAGAAGAAGAAGAAGAAGAAGAAGAAGAAGAAGAAGAAGAAGAAGAAGAAGAAGAAGAAGAAGAAGAGAAGAAGAAGAAGAAGAAGAAGAAGAAGAAGAAGAAGAAGAAGAAGAAGAAGAAGAAGAAGAAGAAGAAGAACCTGTGGCTCTCTTAAAACCTAATTTCTGCAGAACGAATGAGGAGCATTGTGCAAGTCCATAAAATGTACTTTTCTATCCTCCGCAGAAGAGTACTTTGGAACGCAGATTATAAAAATACCATATGAGACCTTGGTTATTGGACTTGATTGTTATACAAACACATAGATGATTCGGTCTGTTCACTGTAACTCAAGTCCTCAAGGGAAGACATTGTTATCGGTTTGTTGCTGCAAAATACTTAGCAAACTCTTACATAAACTTGACATCGTTTATTTCCAAGGTAGCACAAACAATTTCAGCCAATTTAAGTCGTTTTCTTTTAAACAAGGATACTTCCAAGTCTCAGAGACATCTATTCATTTGCTGCATTTTGCAAGCGGGAACATTAGAGTAAAATCAAAGACACTATTTTACCACTGCCAATCACACACACAACACAGTGACAATTTACTCAACCTATCATCACTGTCTTTTGTATGGAAAAGCAATACGCAGAGTAGAAATGAGCAGTGGACTACTTCCTTAAAGCCACTCAAAATGGAGATGCATCAAGCCATCTTGTGTCAGACAATGACAGAGAGAGAGAGATAGAGTGGGGTCTGAAATTATTGACACCCTTGATAAAGACAGGCAATAATCACTATAAATAAATCAATCAAATAGTGAGCTATATTCTATGCAAAAAAAAATGGGAGATTATATTATTTTATCCTAATACAATTGCTCTGAGAAAAATATTATGTTTAACAAGTAATCTTTTTTTCTCAAAAAGGTAGGGGTCCAAATTATTGACACCCCAAGCACGCAATGACTACATCAAGCTTATGACTCTACAAACTTGTTGGATACATTTGCAGTTTCTATTTGGTTGTGTTTCAGATTATTTTGTGCCCAATAGAAATTAATGGTAATTAATCTATTGTGTCATTTTGGAGTCAATGTTTCTAAACACTTCTACATTCATGTGGATTATACCATGAGACATGCGATCGTGAATAATGATGAGTGAGAAAGTTACAGAGGGTACAAAGATCATACCCCCAAGACATGCTAACCTCCCCTGTTATTGGTAACACGGAGAGGTTAGCATGTCTTGGGGGTATGATCTTTGACCTTCTGTAACTTTCTCACTCATCATTATTCACGATCGCATGTCTCGGAGGAGAGAAGACAACATTATAACTACTGTGTTCTTCTCCTCTCTCGTTCAGCATTTGCTATGGGGGAAGGGGGGATGTCTGTAGCAGAAAAGGAATGAAGGAATAGGTAAACGTCACTGCCTCTTCATGTTGTTATACTGTCGTTCCACTGCATATAATAGACTGTCAAACTGTTCTATCTAGACAGCGTTAGGGTATAGTAATTCAAATCAGTGTTGACTCAGATCCATTCTTCCATTGAGAAAATAACATTATACATTCTTTATTTTAGTGTTTGAATAGGCGATTGGATAAGAACATTTTGTATTTGGTTTGGGGGGGGTTGTACTGTGATTGTGTACGAGGCAATGCGGTGAGACTGTCCGGGGTCAGAGCGGGGTCAAACAAACACACAGAAGTCTTAGCTGGGTGATTAACAATTGGTGGCAGCAGTGGGATCTGTCCCACACTAAACATTATAGAATGTTCAAAATATAGAATGCTCTGCTGTTCTATCTACTTTATGTCCCTTCCCCCTTGATGGAAGTCATTCTCCTGCTAACTTCTAACCCCAACAAAAATACCCCTTTATCATCAGCTGACACAAACGGCCCTCACCTCCTCTGACATGCTACTCTGAAACAGGAGAGAACATCTCAAGGACAGAAAGGTGGAACTTCTAAGGATACTGTTCGTTACGTGCAGAGTGATACCATGAGTGCATATGAAATGGCACACTATTCCCAAAAGTAGCGCACTATGTAGGGAATAGGGTGCCATTTCGGCCAGAGCCCAACACTCTTCCTAACTGACTCACGTCCCAGCCAACCCCTGCAGGGTTTCAGGGTTTCAGTATCTGACTAGGGCTCATTGTGGATGACTTCAAGGAGCATCCTGCCTTTGTATTTTTATTTTTTAAGAAAAAGTGTCTGAAGACTAATAATGAGCCAAAAGGTGGTCTTTTCAGGGGAATTAGGCAGCGTTCGGTGCTTCCTCCCTAGGGCTAGCCATAGCTAATCAGACACACATTATTAACACAGAATAAATGAACTCCATGATGATGAGTAGAGTGAGTCAGTGTGTGTGTGTGTGTATGCGCTCATGTTTTTATGTGTGTGTGCAGAGAGTGTCATTGCCCATGAAACCTGAAAACACAGGCGCTAGCTAGGGGACACCATGCTAAAGCCTGTCTTATGCTTCCCAGTCAAAACAGTTTGCGCATATATTATGACTAATTGTTGTGACCTTTTTGTTCATTTTGGTGATCGGAAGGTTTTTTTTCGGCTGTTCGCGCACACAATATTTTTGCTTGAGCGGCAAGTTTGGTAGTCGAAGTCTACGCCGCTTCGTCGGTGATTGGTCAACAGTACTACTCCTAGTAGGAGTGGGAACTATGGACAAGATTCTTCAATGAAGTGTTTGTTTTCATTCAACGAGACGACTAGTTTTCATGCAAATATTTTCACTTGAGAAATAATGCACATAGTTAGATGTAAAATTGCACGACTAAGACCTCTGCAAAACCGTCAAAATGAATTACAGATTTCTTGATTTATCTTACATTAATTTGGACTATTTTGAGGAAGTCTTACTGGATATGTTGTTGCTATGAAAATGTATGCACTCACTAACTGTAATTCGCTCTGGATAAGTGCGTCTGCTAAATGACTAAAATGTAAAAAATGCTACGGCGTCTCAAGAGGGACAAACAGTAATATTGCCGAGTTCTGCTAGGAGCAAACCAAACCTAGTATGCGGGCGCCTTAACGCTAACTCGATCGCTAATTGAGTGGGGGACACCATGCTAAACTCTAACTCGGGCTAATTAATCTGATTATTCGTTGAATAATGGACCAGCCACAATGGGGGCCCGTTCCTTCTGTCAACGAGATCTGCTCCACAATGTTGACTGATTGAGTGAAGCGGCACGGCGCCTCAGAACACACCCCCACTGAGTTTGTGCTGCAGAGATCAAGGCAGAACCTAACATGAGTTCTGTGTGTGTGAGGAGAGAAGGTGCATTCTGCTCCGCAACCGACGTAATATCAGGGAATCAGCGGACAAAACAAGATTTGCTTGATAACAATTAAGGCCGTTTAGTGATGTTGGGGTTGAGAGGGAAACAATTAACCAAACATGATTTCTCAGCTCTCTTCAGGCTCGTATCTCTGGATCGTACAGAGGAGGCTTTGGCCTGTTTCAGTGTTTGGTGTTTGTTAAAAGCCAAACAGCAACGCGCCAGGCATTTACAACCCTGCTCTAGACCCTCTTGTTAAAACGGAGAGTTTGGAACTGGACACACACAGTCTATCTTCTCCACACTGCCTCAATTACAGTAAATGTCAGTGTTTTGATTGAGGTTAAAGGTTAGCAGTGGCCCACGGGGACTCTGCAGGCCTTCTTAACACAGGTAACGTGAGTGACTACAAAGAACAGACTGAAGAGTGGGAGGGAGTTAGCCAGGCCCTTGTAAAGAGGGGGATGGAGAGGTTAGAGAGGAAAGAGGAGGAGAGTGGGATCAGATGCTACTTCAGCTGGCTGTTCAAAGCCATTTGGACACACAGGTTGGAGTCCTCCGTGGTGTGAGAGCTGGGGGAATCATGGATGAAAAGACAGCTTCAGAAGTAGAGGTGTGTGTGTGTGTGAGAGGAAATGTGTGTGCTTCTTTGTAACAATGTCTTTCATTGTCGACCCAAATGATGTATTCATGTGTATGTGTATGGCCATTGTAGGCGTATGTATTCTTCAGTAGACCTACCGATGTTGCAGTGCTCTCCGGTCCAGCCCTGGTTGCACTCACACTTGCCCTCCTTGCAGACTCCGTTCTTGGTGCACATGGGGTGGCAGGCCTTCTGGTCACAGACCGTACCCGTCCAGCCCTCCTCGCAACGACAGCTTCCCCCGAAACACACGCCGTGGGAGCCACAGTCCACCGCACACACCTCTGTACACACACACACACACACACACACACACACAAAGAAGGACATGTTAGTGTCAGTGTGTAATGATGTGGAATCGCTAGCTAGTTAGCTGTTTGTGCTAGTAGTGTCCATTGTGCAAAGTGATGTCACCCGCTTTGAGACCTAGAAGTAGTTGTTGAAACACATTAATTACAAACAAAACAGACATAAGGCTTCATCTATCTCTGTTTCAACTGTAGCCAGGCAGGGTCTCCGTTGGCACAATGCTTCGACTATTGTGTTTTGGGCTGGCAGTGGGGGGGTCGGGTGGATATGGTTGTCAGCCTGGTATTTCTCAAATAACACCTTGCTACCCTGACAAGTCTGTCCCCCGTGGCTGACATGGTGTAACATGAAGAGTCTGGGAGGTTTTGGAGGTGCCTGGGTGGGGCACGGTGGTGGGGGTGAATGGTCCAGCGGTGGGTTTGAGGTGTTGGTGTTGGTGATATGGGGTGTGTGTATGTGTGTGTGTGAGTGTGGGGGGGGGGGGCTAGTGTGGGCAGAAGTGTGATGATAGAGTATGGACAGTTCAGGCTATGAGAGTAGACGTGTTGAACTTTACCTCAGACAGGGTAAGAATAAGATAACGGTAGACACTAGTATTGGTAGACACCGTTAGCCAGCCAGCCAGACACAAGGATTCCCACTGTGCCTGAACCCCAATGACAACCAATCCAATCAACCACAGATAAATCAAACCTGCTGCAGTGGGGCCCATAGATGGACGCCTGCACACAATCTGGGCTTGTTTGGTACAGACTACCGACTGATGGAATGTTGTCAGTTGAGAGGGAATCTGTTTTTGTCTCTGTTCTGTTCTTCAGAGTTTAGACCATTTGAACCAGAAGTGTGCGTTAAAATTCCACCAATCACTTTTAGCTCTGAGTGGAAGTGACACTTGTTTTTCATTCTAAGCCTTTTTGTTGCAGTTACATGAAGAAGACAGGAACGTCTTTATTTATATGACCTTGAAATATAAACTGACGGGAGCGGTGTTTGAATGAATTGTTGTTTGCACAAAATATAAGAGCGAGAGACACTCAACATGACATTTTAGTCATTTAGCAGAAGTGAGTGCATACATTTTTGTACTGGTCCCCCGGGGGAATCGAACCCACAACCCTGGCGTTTCAAGCGCCATGCTCTCCCAACTGAGCCACAGTCTCAATTTGTTGTCTTGTGTCTGTCTTGGCAGGTCTGTACGTACAGACAGACAGTCCGGATTGCAGACAGCAGATGTCTGGCAGGGTGAAGACTATACTCAGATAGACACACCCTGGCTGACTACAGTATTTACCTCTTACTGAAATACTGTCCTGTAGAAACACACAACCCAGTAGAAAGGCTGGATGAGACCTGTGTCAGAGTTCAGAACAGGACAGATGACTGTAGTAATACTGGAACATCATACAATGTTGACCACCTACAGTGCTATAACACAGGTTTAGGAGTAACACCATCTAAAGTGTTAGCACTTCTTGGACTCTTTGGAGGCAGTGACAAATAATCGACCATAGGACCGTTGCTATCAGACAGTGGCTAAGAGAGAGCAATTCCGGGTTGAAGTCAGTGGCTAGATAGAAGACATTGATTAAGCGGAGTTCTCTTAGACTAGCTATCAGTCAGTGGTAAATCTCTGAGTCATTCCAGGTACGACCACAAGACCAACAGACCCCCGACCGCTCAGTCTTTCTCTGTCTCTAAAGTTCCATAAGCCCCCTGGAGGGGCTTCTCTCAGTGTGGGCCACCGCTGCCTGTAGCGAGCTGCCATTACCACTGTGTGTGTGTGTGTGAGTGTGTGTGAGAGAGATAGAGAGTGCGTGCGTGCGACAGAGTGTGTTGTGTGTCAGGAAGTGGAGCTGTGCGTCACTGTCATCGCCGTGTCGCTGGGGCGTTGTGTGTGTGTGGATGTGAGTGTGAGACGTGGCGGGCGCTGTCTGAAACAGGGAGGAGGGAGGGAGAGAGCGGCCTGGAGGGGTGACCAGACTGAGGCTCTGTCTGAAGGTCACTGTGGTCTCAGGCGGTCCAGACCAAACCGTCTCAGACAAAACAATAACAAACACAGAAGAGAATAGAGGTTTCTGCTAAACATCCCGCTTCTCCTCTCTTTCATTCCTGTTTTTCCTTTATTCCATCTGTCTAAGTAATTGTCTCGCTCTTTCACTCTCCTGGGCGATTCCACGCCAGGACAGCCAGAAAATATTTAGGTTATCTCTGATTTTTCTGGCAATTCTCACTTAGAAACTTCATTGGGAGGAAGGATGTTTGACATGCTTTCTACATTGTTATAATTTTTTTCACTCTGGAAAGTTATTGCACTTGTAGAGTATATTGTTCCAAACGATACGTCTTAAAATGAACAAGATAAAAAAGGGTATTTTGTATATTTTACATATCAGAATCTAGACATAGTCCATATGTTAGACCACACTATAAGGAGTATAATGACACCAAGATGTTGTCTGTATCATGTACGGTTCACAGATCATATGGTCTTACAAAACGCATGTATAGGTCTAAAAAGGGCCTCAAATTTCGACTTCCTCATGATTTAAAAAAACAAAAAAAGTGATAGAAATATCAAACATCCTTCCTGCCACTGAAGTTTCTATGTGAGAATTGCCAGAACAATCAATATTTTCGGGCTGTTCTGGTGTGGAATGGCCCTCCATTCTCTCTCTCTTTTGCTCAGTCTCTCTCTTTCTCTCCAGCCCTCCCTCTCTGTTCTCTAGTAATTAGTAGTACAGTCTTATTAAATTTATACTCAGTGTAATTACAAACCCGCGGCCTTTGCTCTCCCTCCACCCTTCCTTCTCTTTGCTGACTCTTTGCTAAACACAGCTTTCTTTCAAATGAAAAATGTATCAGATCAATGTGCTCTCTCCTCTCTGAGCACAGTTAATATAAAAATCACACTGTGGCCTTCATAACAGCATTAGTCAACAAAGCAGCAGTGAAAAGAGAGATAAAGAATGAAAGAGAGAGAGAGATACAGAGAAAGGATATACAGTGAGGGAAAAAAGTATTTGATCCCCTGCTGATTTTGTACATTTGCCCACTGACAAAGACATGATCAGTCTATAATTTTAATGGTAGGTTTATTTGAACAGTGAGAGACAGAATATCAACAATAAAATCAAGAAAAACGCATGTCAAAAATGTTATACATTGATTTGCATTTTAATGAGGGAAATACGTATTTGACCCCTCTGCAAAACATGACTTAGTACTTGGTGGCAAAACCCTTGTTGGCAATCACAGAGGTCAGACGTTTCTTGTAGTTGGCCACCAGGTTTGCATCTCAGGAGGAATTTTGTCCCACTCCTCTTTGCAGATCTTCTCCAAGTCATTAAGGTTTCGAGCCTGACGTTTGGCAACTCGAACCTTCAGCTCCCTCCACAGATTTTCTATGGGATTAAGGTCTGGAGACTGGCTAGGCCACTCCAGGACCTTAATGTGCTTATTCTTGAGCCACTCCTTTGTTGCCTTGGCCGTGTGTTTCGGGTCATTGTCATGCTGGAATACCCATCCACGACCCATTTTCAATGCCCTGGCTGAGGGAAGGAGGTTCTCACCCAAGATTTGACGGTACATGGCCCCGTCCATCGTCCCTTTGATGCGGTGAAGTTGTCCTGTCCCCTTAGCAGAAAAACACCCCCAAATCGTAATGTTTCCACCTCCATGTTTGACAGTGGAGATGGTGTTCTTGCGGTCATAGGCAGCATTCCTCCTCCTCCAAACACAGCGAGTTGAGTTGATGCCAAATAACTCGATTTTGGTCTCATCTGACCACAACCCTTTCAACCAGTTCTCCTCTGAATCATTCAGATGTTCATTGGCAAACTTCAGTCGGGCCTGTATATGTGCTTTCTTGAGCAGGGGGACCTTGCGGGCGTTGCAGGATTTCAGTCCTTCACGGCATAGTGTGTTACCAATTGTTTTCTTGGTGACTATGGTCCCAGCTGCCTTGAGATCATTGACAAGATCCTCCCATGTAGTTCTGGGCTGATTCCTCACCGTTCTCATGATTATTGCAACTCCATGAGGTGAGATCTTGCATGGAGCCCCAGGCCGAGAGAGATTGACATTTATTTTGTGTTTCTTCCATTTGCGAATAATCGCACCAACTGTTGTCACCTTCTCACCAAGCTGCTTGGCGATGATCTTGTAGCCCATTCCAGCCTTGTGTAGGTCTACATCCTTGGAGAGCTCTTTGGTCTTGGCCATGGTGGAGAGTTTGGAATCTGATTGATTGATTGCTTCTGTGGACAGGTGTCTTTTATACAGGTAACAAACTGAGATTAGGAGCACTCCCTTTAAGAGTGTGTTCCTAATCTCAGCTCGTTACCTGTATAAAAGACACCTGGGAGCCAGAAATCTTTCTGATTGAGAGGGGGTCAAATATTTATTTCGCTCATTAAAATGCAAATCAATTTATAACATTTTTGACATGAGTTTTTCTGGATTTTGTTGTTGTTATTCTGTCTCTCACTGTTCAAATAAACCTACCATTAAAATTATAGACTGATCATTTCTTTGTCAGTGGGCAAACGTACAAAATCAGCAGGGGATCAAATACTTTTTTCCCTCACTGTAGATGGGAAGGCCATGGCACAACTGTGTGAGAGAAGCTCTGTGAATGTGAATGACATCTCTACTAGATTTCCACGTAGTGAATGAGTAGTAGCTAACAAATGTCGTACTCCTGAGTTAATGAGAGGCTATCATGCTAATGTGCTAACAACATACCAAATGTAATACTGCTGAGTTAATGAGAGGCTAGCATGCTAATGTGCTAACAACGTACCAAATGTAAAACTGCTGAGTTAATGAGAGGCTAGCATGCTAATGTGCTAACAACGTACCAAATGTAATACTGCTGAGTTAATGAGAGGCTAACATGCTAATGTGCTAACAACATACCAAATGTAATACTGCTGAGTTAATGAGAGGCTAGCATACTAATATGCTATCAATGTACCAAATGTAATACTGCTGAGTTAATGAGAGGCTAGCATGCTAATGTGCTAACAACGTACCAAATGTAATACTGCTGAGTTAATGAGAGGCTAGCATACTAATATGCTATCAATGTACCAAATGTAATACTGCTGAGTTAATGAGAGGCTAGCATACTAATATGCTATCAATGTACCAAATGTAATACTGCTGAGTTAATGAGAGGCTAGCATGCTAATGTGCTAACAACGTACCAAAAATGTAGTACTTCTGAGTGAAGGCTAGCATGCTAACAACTTATAACCTTTAACAACATTCAAACAACGTGCTCACACCAACAACGTACCGATGGAGCAGTCGGGGCCAGTCCAGTTGGTGTCGCAGGTGCAGGTGCCGCTTTCGCTCTGGTAGGTGCCGTGGCTGGAGCACTGGTCGGGGCACATGGTCTTGAGGATCTCACAGTTGGTGCCCCCCCAGCCTGGGCTACAGTGGCACTCCCCGTGGATACACACACCATGGGCTGAACAGCCAGGGTCCAGGCAGTCCACTGGAGGGAGGAGGGGGAGGAGAGAGAGGTTGATTTGGCTCAATCAATTCCCAACCAACTGCTGTAACTTTGGATTGTTCCACAGAGCAAATGTAAACATACAGTACACAAACACTCACTGTGGAACCGTGGAATTGTGTTTGTGTGTGTCGGTGTGTGTGTGTGTATAGTATCTCTGTGTTTGTGAGTGTCTGCTGATGCCCAGCAAGTTGCCTGGGGCTGATGCTTGTTGAGCTGCAGTTACTTCACTCTGCTGTGTTGGTGATGATGGGTCTTAATCAGTCAATTGACTACTGACTGGGTCACAGAACTCACAATAACATTCACTGCAAACTAATTACATTAGCATCGGTTTGTGGTGTGTGTGTGTGTGTGCAGATGATATACAGTAGAAGGAGGTTGGCAGAGATCAATTTTATTGAGCAGCGAAGATTAGATTTTCTCCTATAGGGATGCGCAATAATTGGATCTAATGTACAGACAGTGCTAGCCTTCTGATGGGTTGTTTTGTAGGCTAGCGTAGCAGGTACATGCCAGGATAATTTAGCTAATCTAATATTCTCAATTCTCTGTCAGTGTGTGTGTGTGTGTTTGTGTGTGTGTGTGTGTGTGTGTGTGTGTGTGTGTGTGTGTGTGTGTGTGTGTGTGTGTGTGTGTGTGTGTGTGTGTATGCACGCGCGCGTGTGTGTGTGGTGCATGTGTATGTGCGTGTGTGTGTGAGGTGAGTCTGTGTGTGTGTGTGTCTCAAGCCACGCATCAACGGGGACAGCAATGTAATTATTTGCTCTGTGAAGTAGAGAGTAGCAATTGTTTCTGGAATATTGAACTATTAACTGGCGGGTAGCGATTATGATGGTGAACGCTGAGCAATCAGAGACTGACTGGCTGAGAAGGAAGGAAGAGGATGTGTCTGAACACACACACGTACTCGCACGCTAACGCAAGCACACACACACATGGACACATACACACACAAACACGGACCCACACACGGACACATACACACACGGACACACACACACACGGACACATACACACACGGACACACACACACACACCGAGGAGAGGGGGAAAAGGACAGGGCAGATCAAAAGATCCCTTTCGCAGGAAAAACAATGAGAATCTATGATCTCATGCTAATGGCTTAATACATCTGGGTAAGATGATCGAACCTATCATGTGGCCTGTTTATGCATCGCGGCCCTACAGAGTGACAGCAGCCAATACTTTTCATCTGGCCTATCTAGGCTTGGCGGTGCTACAGAGTGACAGCAGTCAATACTTCTGAAATACATCCTTCCTTTCTCCCATCTCCCAATCACTGTTGATGTGTATAAGATATTCTGTAGGTATGGTACAATTGTCTATTGTCCATCTTTGGGCTTTCATCCTATTTCTACAATAGATGCATACAGGCTAATTTACTCTAAAGCACTTTGTGACAACTGTTGATACAAATACAACTTAGTTGATTGATTGATTGGTTGGATGATTGATTGATTGATCTCTTACCTTCTTCACAGTTGTCTCCCTTGTATCCGGTGTTGCAGGCACAGATGCCCATGATACAGATGCCGTGTCCCCCACAGTGGATGTCTATACACTGGTTACTGGGCACGTCACACTCTGTCCCCTTCCAGCCACTGAAGCACAGGCAGCGACCCCTGGAGTACTGGCCGTTCCCACTGCACAGCACGGGGCACGAAGCTGCAAAGAGACACAGAGGGACATGTGACTACACACACGTGTATGTGCATAAATACACACACAAGCATACACATATACAGTATGCGCATTCACACATGCATGCACAGCAACATATTCTCATGAGATATAAGTTCCATTTCAAAGTTTTTGCAATATTTTTTATAAACGTTTTTTTGTTGAAGTAAAATTTTGCATATACGGGGGGTCACCAGGTTAATAGAGATATATACAGGGTGTCACCAGGTTAATAGAGATATATACAGGGTGTCACCAGGTTAATAGAGATATATACAGGGTATCACCAGGTTAATAGAGATATATACAGGGTGTCACCAGGTTAATAGAGATATATACAGGGTATCACCAGGTTAATAGTGATATATACAGGGTGTCACCAGGTTAATAGAGATATATACAGGGTATCACCAGGTTAATAGAGATATATACAGGGTGTCATCAGGTTAATAAAGATATATACAGGGTGTCACCAGGTTAATAGAGATATACCGTATTTTCCGCACTATAAGGCGCACCGGAGTATAAGCCGCAGCAGCTAAATTGAATGATGTGTACATATATAAGCCGCACTGGACTATAAGCCGCAGGTGTTTTAATGTTTAATTACCATATGTAAGGGTTCGTGCACAGAGGGGATTGTCGGGAAAGAGATGGCTGCTTGAGGAAGCTCCCATTTATTAACATTTCAACAAACAAGTTGCATATTTGCATAACGTATTCAAGTGTTACCATTTAGTGCAATAGTAGCTACAGAACATATACTGTGCTGTGTAAACTGTACTGTATCACATAGCGTTTCAGACACACAAACTTTTCAACACTGCTCTCGTTCTGTCTCTCGTACCACTCTCGGTTCCACTTTTACTTTTGCGCGCTACCTGTCTCACTCTTTTCTGGCCTCCAGCTTTTCCTGCTGGAGCCCGCCGCTTAAAGGTGGGGGGCGCGGACCGGTCATAGAGCCCATAGAGTTAAAGTTGGTGGACTGTAACCTGTAAAATCCATAGATTTAGGAGGTCTTCTAGTGGCCGTTAGCTGTAAAAATCCATAGATTAGCCGCACCGTTATATAAGCCGCAGGGTCGAAAAATGGGAAAAAAGGCGCGGCTTATAGTCCGAAAATTACGGTATACAGGGTGTCACCAGGTTAATAAGAGAGATATATCCAGGTTGTCACCAGGTTAATAGAGATATATACAGGGTGTCACCAGGTTAATAGAGATATATACAGGGTGTCACCAGGTTAATAGAGATATATACAGGGTATCACCAGGTTAATAGAGATATATACAGGGTATCACCAGGTTAATAGAGATATATACAGGGTATCACCAGGTTAATAGAGATATATACAGGGTATCACCAGGTTAATAGAGATATATACAGGGTATCACCAGGTTAATAGAGATATATACAGGGTATCACCAGGTTAATAGAGATATATACAGGGTGTCACCAGGTTAATAGAGATATATACAGGGTATCACCAGATTAATAAGATATATACAAGGTATCACCAGGTTAATAAGTGTCACGCCCTGGCTCTGGGGACTCTTTAATGTTGAGCCAGGGTGTTAGTTTCTATGTTTTGTTTTCTAGGGTGTTGTTCTAGAACGTTTGCCAGGGTGGTTCCCTGTTTTGCACTGTTTATTGTGGGATCTTGTTCCGAAAGGTTTGTGTTATTTAACCTAGGACTTCACGTATCGTTTGTTGTTTTTTGTTCGTGAGTGTACTTAATAAAGTATGTACGCCTATCACGCTGCGCCTTGGTCCGCTTCCTATAACGACCGTGACAGAAGATCCCACCGAAATAGGACCAAGCAGCGTGTGCAGGAGCAAACGGCGGGTATGGAACAGGAGGTTACTCTGGTAGATGTCCTCCTCGGTTGGGGGAGAATCACGGAGGAGGAGGCCGTCCGCTACGAGGGAGGATGCCCAGGCAGGAGAGGAGAAGCGGTGCCAACCGGGTCGTCGTCGGACAGGCGAGAGGCAACCCCAATACATTTTTTGGGGGGGGCACACGGCATGGACGACGGGGCTGCTGGAGGCAGCTACAGGGCGAGTTTGCGGACTAGGAGAGGAGGCCACCAGGTTATGGGGGCCATTGGTCATGAGGGGGAAGGAGAGTGTAGAGGCACGGCGAGAGGTACTGGGGTGTGTTACCAGTCCGGTCCGGCCCGTTCCTGATCCCCGCGCAAGGCTAGTGGTGTGTGTTCCCAGTACGGTTCGGCCTGTTCCTGCTCCCCGCACCAAGCCTGTGGTGCGCGTCGCCAGCCCGGTCCGGCCTGTTCCTGCCCCTCGCACCAAGCCAGTGGTGCGCGTCGCCAGCCCGGTTCGGCCTGTTCCTGCTCCCCGCACCAAGCCAGTGGTGCGCGTCGCCAGTCCGGCCCGGCCTGTCCCTCGCACCAAGCCTGTGGTGCGCGTTGCCAGCCCGGCCCGGCCTGTTCCTGCCCCTCGCATCAAGCCTGTGGTGCGCGTCGCCAGCCCGGCCCGGCCTGTTCCTGCCCCTCGCACCAAGCCTGTGGTGCGCGTCGCCAGTCCGGCCCGGCCTGTTCCTGTCCCTCGCACCAAGCCTGTGGTGCGCGTCGCCAGTCCGGCCCGGCCTGTTCCTGTCCCTCGCACCAAGCCTGTGGTGCGCGTCGCCAGCCCGGTCCGGCCTGTTCCTGCCCCTCGCACCAAGCCTGTGGTGCGCGTCGCCAGCCCGGTTCGGCCTGTGCCTGCTCCCCGCACCAAGCCAGTGGTGCGCGTCGTCAGCCCGGTCCGGCCCGTTCCTGCTCCCCGCACCAAGCCAGTGGTGCACGTCGTCAGCCCGGTCCGGCCCGTTCCCGCTCCCTGCACCAAGCCAGTGGTGCGCGTCGTCAGTCCGGCACGGTCTGTGCCTGTTCCACCGGTTCCTGGTCCGGCACCGGTCAGCTGCTCCACGCCGGAGCCAGAGCAATCCGCTCCACCGGTGTTCAGTCCAGCTCCGGCCAGCAGGGCCAGACCACGAGGGCGAGAGAGAGAGTGGTGGTCACACCCGGAGCCGGATCCGCCTCCGAGGCGGAATGCCCACCCGGCCCCTCCCCTGTGGTGTTTGGTTGGCGCGGTCGCAGTCCGCGCCTTTGGGGGGGGGGGGGTACTGTCACGCCCTGGCTCTGGGGACTCTTTAATGTTGAGCCAGGGTGTTAGTTTCTATGTTTTGTTTTCTAGGGTGTTGTTCTAGAACGTTTGCCAGGGTGGTTCCCAATCAGAGACAGCTGTAGCTCGTTGTCTCTGATTGGGGACCATACTTAGGCAGCCTGTTTTGCACTGTTTATTGTGGGATCTTGTTCCGAAAGGTTTGTGTTATTTAACCTAGGACTTCACGTATCGTTTGTTGTTTTTTGTTCGTGAGTGTACTTAATAAAGTATGTACGCCTATCACGCTGCGCCTTGGTCCGCTTCCTATAATGACCGTGACAATAAGATATATACAGAGTGTCACCAGGTTAATAGAGATATATACAGGGTATCACCAGGTTAATAGAGATATATACAGGGTATCACCAGGTTAATAAGATATATACAGGGTATCACCAGGTTAATAAGATATATATAGCGAGACACAAATGGACACAGAAGTCACTTCAGCAGCTCTTCAGTATAATTCTGAGGGAATATAAGCAGAGTGCTGATGAATAGTGATGGATGGAGGGACATTATACTTTCTAATGACTTTTGAGACCCCTTTTCTCTTTGTTTGAGCTCCAGTCAAGCACACAGTATTGTATAATGATGAAACGGGAGCTGGAGAGAGCCTCCTTGATGGAGGTAGTAGTAGGCAGAGACACAGAGGTACTGACTGACTGAATCAGTGTGTGTGAGTGTGTGTGTGTGTGTGTATATGTGTGTGTGTGTGTGTGTGTGTGTGTGAGTGAGTGAGCGAGAGAGAGCGAGAGCGAGAGAGAGAGAGCGTGTGAGAGAGAGTGTGTGTGTGCATCAGTGTGTCTGAATCAATGCCTCCATGGCTTCTGTATGTACTCGCCGGGACAACAATCTACAGCCAATTATGGGAGGTGACAGTGGGTTTACTCCTCTCAAATGGTGTGTGTGTATGTGTGTGCCTTACCTCTTGAGCAATCAGGCCCAAGGAACCCTGGGAAGCAATGACATGTTCCAGACAGACAGTCGCCGTTGCCATGGCAATTGTGGGGACACTCCATAACGGACTCTGAAGAGAGAGAGAGCGAGAAGAGAGTGTTAGTGAATGTTTGTGTGAGTTAGAGGTGTGCATATAGCGATAGAGAGAATACGAACGAGGCCAATATCCTGAAATAGAAGAGTGATAATTAGCCAGGCCGATCGAAGTACACACACACATCCTCTCCCTGCTCTAATCACCACCTTCTCCATATTCCTGATTGAGACAAACTGGGCCTCTCTACTTGCCGTAGCCCACCAATCAACACCTTATTACCACCAATCATCCAGCTCACACTCCCAGCACTCCTCTTTAGCTACAAGATGGACAGAATCTTACCACCCTTTTACCATCTCTCTCCTTCTATCTCTCTATCACTCTCTTCCCCCAATCATTCTGGCCTCTACACCATTGGCTCAAAATTACCATTCTTTTCAGCCCTCCCTCCTCCTCCCTGTCTCTCTCTATTTTGGGTACATGATCCAGGTCAGGAGAGGGAATTAAGGTATTGAAATGATTTCTCTGAAGTTGTACCAGGCATGTCATTGCGTGGTTCAGTAAATATCAAGCCAACACGAGGCTGTATTTCACCACGCTAGATCCATGTACTGCCAAACAGGACTTCTCAATATAGCTAAAGGTTCAGGCTAAAGGTTAAGAGCTGGTGAGTGTGTGTGTGCTGTTGATGCTGTGCTGTGGGATAATTTAAGATACTGTTTAAAGAGGTAGATATTCAGATGTTTTCAGAACAACAGAGAGATGTGGAAATGCAATACACAAGGGTCTGACACAGGATATTAAGTCAGGTCAAACATTTCCCACAACGCCCATATAACCCTCCCAAAACCTTCCGCCATCTCTGGTGCTTATTGCAGGGGCATGAAGGTATCTCATCCCCCGTCCAACCTTTATAGCGTTCGTACAACGATCCCCTGATGGACAAACAATCCATTTGAATTTGAGATGGCGAGAGAGAGTAGTGTTTTGATTAAGGCAGTCAAAGTTCTACCATGTTCTTTGGCAGGTGGGAAGAGAGGGAGGGAGAGAAAGAGAAAGAGAGAGAGAGAGAGAGAGAGAGAGAGAGAGAGAGAGAGAGAGAGAGAGAGAGAGAGAGAGAGAGAGAATGAGAGAGAGAAAGAGGGAGAGAGAGAGATATATAGAGAGAACAGGCCACTAAGGGGTGTGTGCTGTGCTTTGATGTAGGGCCTCAACTCTCCAGCCACTTACTGCGTGGCCACACATTACGCAGAGCTGACTCACGCTGCGGACACACACACACACATACATGTACTGACCTATGACGATGGTGTTGTAGGAGACCTGTTCTGAGTTCTTCCCGTCGTTGTAGAAGGCCAGGTGCCAGATGCCAGAGTCCAGGTACTGGATGAAGCCCGCCTCATGCACACTCACCGAGCGCGCCCGCCTAGACACGCCCTCCAACTCCACCAGCCCGCGCTTCTCCTTGGTGATCAGGCGACTGCCGTCCAGCAGCTCAACAAAGTCATACTGGAGAACACACAAACACACACACACACACACACACACACACACAATATCAGACTAAAGGAACATTGAGAAAAACAGCAAAGCTTCACCTTGACTCCATTTCATCTGTTTCTAGTCCTTCAACACTAATGGTTTAACTAACGTTTGGCCTCGGATGACTTGGAACATTTTCCCTTTTATTTTTCTGGCCATAAATGTTTTATATCTCACAGTGGCCATAAACATTGATTCTATTAACATTTTCCCCATCTCTTCTAATGAGTCTGTCGTGGAACGAATGCTTTTCTCCCCAAAAAGAGAAGAATATGAATTCCTGCCACGACCACACACACCATCCACATTGTGCATCCACAGAGACCAAACCTGAAAAATTAACACTTCTTAATTCCCTGTCTCTTCCTCAGCCTTCATCCAACATGTCCGTCAATATCCCCTCATTATGTCCTCTCCGACGTATTAAAGAAACATATTGATTTACCACACAGAGCAAATAATGCTACGGCGCCAGCTAACGCTCTCGCTCCACTCCGGGGTATCGACGCGCAGCGTTGTGAAGACCTTTGTCGCCAATTACCTCTATTAGGCTTCAGCCGCTTCATTTGGAGTGTGTGTGAGTGAGTGAGTGTGTGTATGCTTCATTTGGAGGCTGCATGGCTTAATTGAGTGTTTCTGCCGTGCCCTTGAGGAATATATCTGCCATTGTTAAAGATGATACATTGGCTCTGTCTGAAAACTTAACTAGCCTTCAAATCCTTGATGCCTCCCATGCTTGATTCCTCAATGTGTTGCCTCCTTCTCAAAGCTCATTGGAGGGAGATGTCTGAGGGGAGGGACATTGGATCCTCTCCTCCAATGAGCTTTGAGATTCCACCCTACCTGTATGTTTGAGAGTCCAATTCCACCTCCAGCCTAATGTGTGTGTGGGGGAGGGGAGGCATGCCCTTCCTACCTGTGTATGCGAGGGGGGCAGGCCCTTCCTGCCGTAGACCCCCACCAATGCATCCCTCTGCACTGAGATGTTGAACTTCAGGAACTGGGGCTGGTCAATGTAGAGCTGGGAGCGCCAGAAAATCCCTGGTGGGACTTCCTGAACGGCCCTGCGCCCCACGTCCACCTCCCCTGTGTCTATGGTGTTGTTCTCCTGGAGGAACACCCCTAGTTTACCTAGAAAGAGGGAGTGAGAGGGGGAGGGGAGGGGAGGGGAGGGAGAAGGGAGGGGAGGGGAGGGGGAGGGGGAGAGAGATTAGCATTCTGAATGACAGAAATATGGTTCCAGTTTTGGACAACATGAAAACGTTTTACGTACTTGTAATGATGAAAGTGAATGGAGGAAGGCATCATCACTATGCATTTGAATACAGCCGTTTAGATTGTAAGTGGCGGCCTGCATTCAGCCATCACATTAAGATGGTAATCCTCATATCAACCATGCATGATGACTGTTTCCTGAGGCTGCTACAGTAATGTTGTAATGAGGCACTAGGCTACTAGAGTAATGTTGTAATGAGGCAGTAGGCAGCACAGTAGCCTGTTCTCAGGTCTGTTTGTACTGTGTTATGGTCGTTGTAATGAGGCAGTAGGCAGCACAGTAGCCTGTTCTCAGATCTGTTTGTACTGTGTTATTGTCACGACTTCGGCCGAGGCTGCCTCCCCTCCTTGTTCGGGCAGGCTTCGGCGTTCGTCGTCACCGGCTTACTAACCACTGCCGCCCCAATCATCATCACATTTGTCTTGTCTTGTTAATCACACACACCTGGTTCTAATCCCCTCATTAGTCTGTGTATAAGTGTTCCCTCTGCCCCCTTGTCCTTGTGGGTGATTGTTAGTTGTGAGAGTAGTATAGCTCGGTGGAGCTACTCGTACATTTTGTTGCCAGGGTAGATTTTCCCCTGTGCCTATGTATTATTGGATTCTACCGTTACAGTGTATTTGCCAGGGATGAGAGATTCCCCTGTGCCTGTTTCGTTGATCGCTATTTGAGCGCATTTATGTGTCAATGAAGGAATAAACTCTGTATTCTGTGAATACCCTCCTGCGCCTGACTCCTTTTGGTCGTTGTAATGAGGCAGTAGGCAGCACAGTAGCCTGTTCTCAGATCTGTTTGTACTGTGTTATGGTTGTTGTAATGTAGCAAAGAAGGGAACCAGCACCAAACTACTGTAACACCATTGGGCAGTGCCAAACGCCTGCTAATGTTACAACCACAGAAATACAATTACTAGAAAGGACATTTCCATTCAAGTCAATGGTCAATGTTCTAGTTATTTTATTTCTATGGTCCAGACACCCCATTTCAGTCTGTCACCACTACATTAACCAACCCAAACTCACTCTGGTACACATAGTACCAGTAATATTATAATTTATCGCATAAGGATCCGAGGGGACTATTATTTTGGGAAATAAAGCTTGTCTAGACATTTCCCATCACCATACACACAACATCCCTACAAATACATAAGCATGAGTTGGACACAATACCATCCACACAGTAACACAGTGTGTGTTTGTGTGTTTGTGAGAAAGAGAGAGAAAATGGCGGTCACGGGGGAATCGACTGGTCTCCTACAGTTACTAATGGACAGCAGCTGTTGTTAATAATCCATTAATTATTGCAGAAGTGGTTCAGGGGACCTGTGGTGTATGTGTGAGTGGTTCAGGGGACCTGTGAGATTCATAACGCCACAGAGAGAGATAATGTGTGATGCAGTACACGTGTACAAAGGGCCCTTTCCACTGTCCAAAGAAGCAATTAGACACAAAATGCTGCTTGCTAGTGAAACACTGATCTCTCTCTCTCTCTCTCTCTCTCTCTCTCTCTCTCTCTCTCTCTATCTCTCTCTCTCTCTCTCTCTCTCTCTCTCTGTGTGAGCTAGGGTAAAAAATGACCTCATAATGTAAAACTTCAAATGAAATGGCGAAGTTTTACGGTATGTATGAGATGCTGCTGCCCTCAAGCAGTAAAGATGAGATGTGTTTGAATAGTAACACAATCAATTTCATGCTGTGTATTGAACCGTCCAGTCCACCAACATGAGAAAAAGATGAGCATCTATTTATTAGTGCACTAAACCACACAAACACACACGGACATGAACACACAACCACTTGGAAAACATGATTCACTTAACCCTCCCGTTGACCTAGGGTCAAAATGACCCGCCACTGTGTTGAACCAACTTTATTTAATTTGTATATTTTTTGGATCATTTGTGAGGAGGCAGTGATACTTTCTTTAAAGTCTCACTGCCTCCCTCTCACAAATGATCCCAAAAATATACAAATTAAATAAAGTTGGTTCAACACAGTGGCGGGTCATTTTGACCCTAGGACAACGGGAGGGTTAAGAAAAACGAACTATCCGTCAACATAACATTTTCTTGTGTGCAACAGTAGATGCATATTCAATCAACCACTTTGGAAAAAACTGCTTTCTTAGAACGGCTGGCTCTCTCTCTGTTATAATCCACTATGGCTCAACAGTGTTGCCAATGTATTGAGTGTTGTCGGGAGTCTGGACTCTATAACAGTAATCTGTATTAATGGTTCTTAATTGTTGGAACATCACTGACAGAACTAGATCAACGCAGAAGTAGAGAAAGCCTTTCTCTTGATTATGTGGTTTGTCAGGGTTATGTGGTGCATCGACAAGGACAAGGATGAACAAGGAGAGAGAGACAATGGTGTGTGTGTATGTGTGCATACAGTGTGTGTGTGTGTGTGTGTGTGTGTGGTTGGCCCTATGCCAGGACTACTGTATGATAATAATGCAGCAGCTTCAGCTCAGGCTAGACACTGCCAGCTCTGACAGCTATACATTCACTGATAAAATTACATACACTGATCAGATTACATACACTGATCAGATTACATACACTGATCAGATTACATACACAGATCAGATTATGTACACTGATCAGATTACATACACAGATCAGATTACATACACAGATCTGATTACGTACACAGATCTGATTACGTACATTGATCAGATTACATACACAGATCAGATTACATACACAGATCTGATTACGTACACAGATCTGATTACGTACACAGATCTGATTACGTACACTGATCAGATTACGTACACTGATCAGATGACATACACTGATCAGATGACATACACAGATCAGATGACATACACCGATCAGATTACATACACTGATCAGATTACATACACTGATCAGATTACATACACAGATCAGATTATGTACACTGATCAGATTACATACACAGATCAGATTACATACACAGATCAGATTGCACATGATGCCTAAAATGATAAGGCAGACCATATAATTATTCACAGTTCTATAAATATTTGTGTGTGTGTGTGTGTACATCATGAATGCATAAAATTGACGTAAACGTAAACGTAAACGTAAAATTGTGTGAATGTAATGAGTATTTCGTTCTAGTTATGGAATTTTAGCTACACTGTCTTCTAGCTTTACTACACTGTCTTCTAGCTTTACTACACTGTCTTCTAGCTTTACTACACTGTCTTCTAGCTTTAATACACTGTCTTCTAGCTTTACTACACTGTCTTCTAGCTTTACTACACTGTCTTCTAGCTTTACTACACTGTCTTCTAGCTTTACTACACTGTCTTCTAGCTTTACTACACTGTCTTCTAGCTTTAATACACTGTCTTCTAGCTTTACTACACTGTCTTCTAGCTTTAATACACTGTCTTCTAGCTTTAATACACTGTCTTCTAGCTTTACTACACTGTCTTCTAGCTTTACTACACACTGTCTTCTAGCTTTACTACACTGTCTTCTAGCTTTACTACACTGTCTTCTAGCTTTAATACACTGTCTTCTAGCTTTAATACACTGTCTTCTAGCTTTACTACACTGTCTTCTAGCTTTACTACACTGTCTTCTAGCTTTACTACACTGTCTTCTAGCTTTAATACACTGTCTTCTAGCTTTACTACACTGTCTTCTAGCTTTAATACACTGTCTTCTAGCTTTACTACACTGTCTTCTAGCTTTAATACACTGTCTTCTAGCTTTAATACACTGTCTTCTAGCTTTACTACACTGTCTTCTAGCTTTAATACACTGTCTTCTAGCTTTAATACACTGTCTTCTAGCTTTAATACACTGTCTTCTAGCTTTACTACACTGTCTTCTAGCTTTACTACACTGTCTTCTAGCTTTACTACACTGTCTTCAACACTTTCCTGTGTCACTCCATCTGGACCTGTCAACAAAGCCCTGTCCTCTCGCCCAGTGCACCTCAATCCAACACTTCCAATCATCTGTGAGAGTGAGTGAGAGAGTGAGTGCACTAAGGCGATTGCGCTCCTGCTCTTCCTCCCCTGGGTAGACTCTCTTATAGAGAGAGTGCTTTTAGGTTACCTGCCTATCACAGAGGTGAACAACAACATGCAGTCCAAAGATAGGTATTGACACATATACACACACACACACACGATGCGCGGGTTGACTCATAACCCGCAGTCCCCGCGATTATACAGATGTCAGATCTTAATTTGGGTTGGATAAACAGAAAACAAGTCATAGAAAAATCCATAAATGTATGATAATTCCTGTGCAATTCATGTCTACAGGATACATTGAGGTTTTCTTTCATTATTTTGATCTGACATTAGTGCGTAGGCCTAAGCTTTAGGGCCTAACTGTACACGTGCCAAATACACGCCAATTGCCAAATGCTTTTGGGATCTTGGGCAGAAAAAGTTAACGGCGATCCACTGAGGCAAAAAGGACAAAAAAGGAACTGTTCAGCACATGTTCTAAATTTGCAGGTTAGGGTCGGGCGCAGGACTCACATTTTCACTAGTCGGGCGGTTGCAGACGGGTTATTAGCAATTGCGGGTGGGTCCAGGTCAACAAACAGTTGACCCGCGCATCACTAACAGACACACACTCACTCACTCACTGAGATGAGAGTGTGAAGGGAGAGTCCGTGTATATTTATCAATGTGTGCATGTATGTTTAAATGCACTTTACCTTTCTAACACTGTGTGTGTGTGTATGTTTGTGTCTGTGTGTGTGTCTCTGTGTGTGTGTGTGTGTGTGTGTGTGTGTGTGTGTGTGTGTGTGTGTGTGTGTGTGTGTGTGTGTGTGTGTGAGTGTCTGTTTGTGTGTGTTTGTGTGTCTGTGTTTGTGCTCATGTCTATTTGTGGTAGTCCATTCATTCACATCAGTGAACAAAGCCACAGGCTGTCACTGCAGACAGTTGATGGCTCACACAGAGAGAGAGGAAGAGTAAGAGGGAGAGAGGAGGCCAAGGTTAGTTGAAGGAGGAGAGAAAAGAGGATTGAGGGAGGGAGGGAGGGAGGGAGGGAGGGAGGGAGAGCGTTCATTACTTCCTCACGTTAATGTAAACACTATCATTTTAGCATTACCACTCCTCCTCCTCCACAGTGACTTTTAGCCTCTCAGGTCACTTCAGTTAGAGATCCGTATGTCTGAATGTTGTATGAATGGTGGTGATGGTCACTGTTACCTTGTACTGTCTGATATTTGTTTATCTAACCAAACAAACAACCACATCAAAAGAAAGGAGACAGGGATGGAGGGAAGAGGGGAGGGATGTTTGTAGGGACATGGTGAGTGGAAGAGACATGATGGAGAGAGAGAGAGAGAGAGAGAGAGAGAGAGAGAGAGAGAGAATAAAAGAGAGAGAGAGAATGAAAGAGAGAGAGAGAGAGAATAAAAGAGAGAGAGAGAATAAAAGAGAGAGAGAGAGAATGAAAGAGAGAGAGAGAAAGAGAGAGAGAGAATAAAAGAGAGAGAGAGAGAGAATGAAAGAGAGCGAGAGAGAGAATAAAAGAGAGAGATAATAAAAGAGATAAGAGAAAGAGAGGAATACAAGAGAGAGTCGAGGCAATACCAAAAGGCGAGGAGAGCTAACGGGAGAGAGAGAATAAAAGAGAGAGAGAGATGGCCTGGTCTCAGAACTGAATGAGTCTCAACCTAATTGTGTCAGCGAAGGTTAGGAGAGGGGGAGGAGGACGACTCTACAGGACACAAGCACTGGAGGGACAGGAACACACGGACACCCATCAAATCACTAGCACTAGAAGAAGATAATCTGCATCTCAAATGGCACCCTATTCCCAATATAGTGCACTACTTTGGACTAAAGACCTATGGGGTCCTGGTCAAAAGTAGTGCACTAAATAGGGAATATGGTGCCATTTGGGACGCAGCCTAAGCCTGTCAAACAGTGGGAGATGAGACAGTGGTGGAAGTACTGGGGCTCATGTTAGTCCATTCTCTCCTCAACTCTCTGCAGTATGATGGCCCAGTGTCATGGATTTATTTCATCTCCACTAGGATACATTTAGTCTATACTCGACCCAAATTAAGAAGAAAAAGTGTGTGATTATAGATGTATTCTCATAACTCGTGACCCCACCTATCACATGCCCAGGGCTCACTTTGGGCCCGACCCATAGTTTAAGAAACCCTGCTCTAGTCAGCTCTCTGCTGCCCAGTGTCATGGACTTAGTTTGTAAGGTCAGTCCACTTCCAGAAAAAGCCACTCTGTCTCACCTCAGCCTACAGAGACCAACACAGAGTCTGTACTATCTGAAACACCTGCAGTACCACCATCTCCTCTCCTCTCCACAGGGGATTCAGAGTGATGGCGGACATGGAAAAGGTGTGTGTGTGTTACAAAGGTGTATGTGTGTTGGTGTGAGAAAGGGATCGATAGAGAGAAACATTGGCGTGTAAGACAGCTACAAAAAGTGTGTGTGTGTGTTATTAGAGCTGCAGTGTGTGTCCGATGAGGATACAATGTGTGTCTGGAGGTCAGTGGCAAATAGAGTTTGAGAGAGTGACTGCAGTGGAGGGTGACCCGGCTGGCAGTCTTCACACACACACACACACACACACACACACACACACCATTTGGCTGGTGGCTGGGCTATGCCTCTGGATAATGGGTCTGGATGAATAATGGCAGTGTGTGTGTGTGTGTGTGTGTGTATGTGTGTGTGTGCGTGCGGGTAGAGCCTTCAAAATCCTATCTTTAGACAAAGCAATCTGACATTCACACTTTAAAAGGAATCTCTTTCTGTAGGAGAAAGCCAAGTACTTCAGTGCAATGTTTAGTGAATAGATCAAAGCAGGCTTGATGCAGATGTGAGAGGTGGTTTATCCCACTGACTATGCATTCTCCTTGGGTTGCTCCATACAGACACAAGGCCACCCACACAACCACCATATGAACAGCACTAAAAGGTAAGAGCTATAGCTAGGCAGGTAGCTTATCGGTAAAGAGCGCTGGGCCAGTAACCAAAAGGTCGCTAGTTCGAATCCCCGAACAGACTAGGTGAAAAATCTGTCGATGTGCCCTTGAGCAAGGCACTTAACCCTAATAGCTCCTGTAGGTCGCTCTGGATAAGAGCGTCTGCTAAATGACTATGTAAAATGTAAGAGCTATAACCAGTGTGGTTAAACACCATGACTTTCCTCCCCATTGCGTGTCTGTATGTGGTCAGATCACTGCCCTCTCTCCTAATACTGGGACTTAGCACATCAATACTGGCCCTTTGAAGCCTCTGGCCACTCTACTCACACAGGGCCCAATTGGTCAGTGTGTGTGTGTTTCAAATCAAATCAAATCAATCAAATGTTATTTGTCACATGCACCGAATGCAGTGAAATGCTTACTTACACGCCCTTAACCAACAATGCAGTTTTAAGAAAGAATACCAAAAAAAATCACACAAAAAAATACAATAATAATAATATGAAATAAAAGTTACAAATAATTAAAGAGCAGCAGTAAAAGACTTGGCGCTCCGGTACCGCTTGCTGTGCGGTAGCAGAGAGAACAGTCTATGACTAGGGTGGCTGGAGACTTTGACCATTTTTAGGGCCTTCCTCTGACACCGCCTGGTATAGAGGTCCTGGATGGCAGGAAGCTTGGCCCCAGTGATGTACTGGGCCGTACGCACTACCCTCTGTAGTGCCTTGCGGTCAGAGGCCGAGCAGTTGCCATACCAGGCGGTGATGCAACCAGTCAGGATGCTCTTAATGGTGCAGCTGTAGAACGTTTGAGGATCTGAGGACCCATGCCAAATCTTTTCAGTCTCCTAGGTTTTGTCGTGCCTTCTTCACGACTGTCTTGGTGTGCTTGGACCATGTTAGTTTGTTGGTGATGTGGACACCAAGGAACTTGAAGCTCTCAACCTGCTCCACTACAGCCCCGTCGATGAGAATGGGGGCGTGCTCGGTCCTCTTCTTTTTCCTGTAGTCCACAATCATCTCCTTTGTCTTGATCGCGTTGAGGGAGAGGTTGTTGTCCACACGGCCAGGTCTCTGACCTCCTCCCTATAGGCTGTCTCATCATTGTCGGTGATCAGGCCTACCACTGTTGTGTCATCAGCAAACTTAATGATTGTGTTGGAGTCGTGCCTGGCCATGCAGTCATGAGTGAACAGGGAGTACAGGAGGGGACTGAGCACACACCCCTGAGAGGCCCCCGTGTTGAGGATCAGCGTGGCGGATGTGTTGTTACCTACCCTTACCACCTGGGGGCGGCCCATCTGGAAGTCCAGGATCCAGTTGCAGAGGGAGGTGTTTAGTCCCAGGGTCCTTAGCTTAGTGATGAGCTTTGAGGGCACGATGGTGTTGAACGCTGAGCTCTAGTTAATGAATAGCATTCTCACATAGGTGTTTCTTTTGTCCAGGTGTTAAAGGGCAGTGTGTAGCGCAATAGAGATTGCATCATCTGTGGATCTGTTGGGGCGGTATGCAAATTGGAGTGGGTCTAGGGTTTCTGGGATAATGGTGCTGATGTGAGCAATGACCAGCCTTTCAAAGCACTTCATGGCTACAGATGTGACTGCTATGGGTCGGTAGTCATTTAGGCAGGTTATCTTAGTGTTCTTGGGCACAGGGACTATGGTGGTCTGCTTGAAACATGTTATTATTACAGACTCAGACAGGGAGAGGTTGAAAATGTCAGTGAAGACACTTGCCAGTTGGTCAGCGCATTCTCGGAGTACACATCCTGGTAATCCGTCTGAATGTTGACCTGTTTAAAGGTCTTACTTACATCGGCTACGGAGAGCGTGATCACACAGTTGTCCGGAACAGCTGATGCTCACATGCATGTTTCAGCGTTACTTGCCTCGAAGCGAGCATAGAAGTAATTTAGCTCGTCTGGTAGGCTCGTGTCACTGGACAGCTCGCGTTTGTACATGTATGTATGTATGTATGTATGTATGTATTGTATGTGTGTGTGTGTGTTGTGTGTTGTGTGTGTGTGTGTTGTGTGTGTGTGCGTGTGTTCTAGCCTCCTTACCGTTATCAGCAGACAGTGCGGTGATGGTGTTGGGTGTGGTGTCTGACTTCCCCTGGCCGTTCTCAAAGGCGTAGCCCTCTGTCTCCTGCAGCTGCCAGTTCAGACCAAACAGATGCATGGCTACAGTAGGGATAGAGGGAGAGGGATAAAGAATAGTTATTACTCTCAGTGGTCGAGGGCTTAACAACACACACACACACACCATAAAGACAGTTTACCCAGCAGAGAGTCAGAGATGGGATGCCTAAAAGAACTCTGTCAGATAAAAAGACAACAGGAGAAATATCCCTCTATCGATTATGGTTTGGGTTCTAACAAGCTCTCGGATTGGCCTGACCCTTCAGGGTGTATATATATCTGAACGTGTGTGTGTGTAGGAGGAGGTGATTTGGGAGTTGTAGAGAGAGAATCTGTCAAAATAAGAATCAGTCAAAGCAGGTATTGTTTGAAAAATCCAATATGTTAACCTTGTCCCTGAGAGGAGAGAGAGGGGGAGGGACCTGGAGAGAGGGAGAGATGGAGACACACAGCTTAGTGCATTAGCATCAAGCCGGCCCTCTGGCTGGATATAATTCAATCCCACACCTTTCTCTCTCCTTCCCTCTCTCTCCCCCCTCCTCGCCATTTCTCTCTCTCTCTGAGGGCTTCTGCCAGAAGCCCCACTTAGAGTGAGGAGACACGCGAGAGGAGCCAGTTTCTAGTTTTGAACACTGTTTCAGCGCCGTCTGTAGCTGTCTGGAGCCGTCATGGCTGCCGAGGGCTTTAGTAGGAGCCAGGCATGATGGAGGCCTGTGGACTGTGACTCAGACAGTACTGAAGGGCCAGTAGCAAGTCTGGTGAGAATGACTGTTTAGTACCAACAACACACACACACACACACACACACACACACACACACACACAAAAGTGTCAGTGTGTGTGTGTCCTGTGTGAGTTATAAGGATGCCTGGCTGCACACTCTAGCTCTAATGAGAGGAGTTTAGTCGTGCACACAGCCCCCTGTGGTTTTCTACCTCAACACACACTCACAACCACCTATAAATCACTATAAAAGCAGGGGATGTTGGTGTATACTGGTGCTGTGTGGTGGGGAGTGTGTGTGTGTTCTGTATCAGTGTGTGTATTTGAGTGTGTGGGAGCTGGATCTAGGATATGTAGACATTATAGCTGGAGGAAATGGAAGCAAGAGAGAGGGAGAGTAAGGGACAGAGAGAGGTCGAACGGTGGAGAGAGAGAGGTAGAGCGAGAGAGAGAGTGAAGGGAAGAGGAGAGGTAGAGAGGAGAGGGAGAATGTGCAGGGTAAGCTGAGGGAATCCTCTTGCAGCGCAATTAGGGCCCGGAGGCCAGAGCGTTTTCAACCAGAACCCCCCAACGGTTCAACCAAGCCCCCCCCCCCCCACCCCCACCCCCCTCTCTCTCTCTCATTAAAAGAGTGATGTGGTGCTGGGGAGGGCCTCCTGCGGTGGGCAGGACCAGAGGGTCATGGGAGAGAAGTTGGTGGATCGACACCAAGCGCTGCCAGAGTGGAGCATGCTGGGAGGCTTAAGGCTCCTCAGGACAACCCTCAAACAACCTTTATGCAACCACGAGACAACCATGAAACAATGTTGAGATATCAATTTCTGAGCTAGGTTGAAGGTTCATCACCATAACAGCATCAAACCCTTGAGCTTGAATCAAACACCAGTCTCTGGACCTCTGAGAGAGAGAGAGAGAGAGAGAGAGAGAGAGAGAGAGAGAGAGAGAGAGAGAGAGAGAGAGAGAGAGAGAGAGAGAGAGACGAGAGAGATAGAGAGAGAGAGATGAGAGAGAGAGAGCGAGATGAGAGAGAGAGAGCTCTAAGAGATCAGATCTCTCTTCTCTCAGTCGATCTCTATTATAGAGATATCGCTCGCTCTCTCTCGCTCCTCTCTAGCTCTCTCTACTCTCCTTATCTCTCACTCGGATTAATAGCAAGAGAGACCAGAGCTAGAAAAGAGCATCTATCATCTCTCTACGAGAGCAACGGAAACATTGGAAAACCAGACAGACAAAAAGAGCCAGGTGTGGAGGTGGATGGATATTGGAGTCTTCAAAGCATTTATATTTGTTAAAAGGTCAACCTTTTCAGACTTAGAGGAAGTTATGAGGCTTCTAGCGCTATCTCATTTAGCAGCACTTTCTTTAGAAAGACAACCATTAGACATCCATCTACACATAAATTCATTAATTGTAAAACAGAATGCCATTACTTCACTAATGATAGTTTACATATCTGTACAAAATATGTGCAAAATGGATGCAAATCCACCCCCAGATATACAAGTCTACTGTTGCATGTCAGTTGTAATATCATTATGTGTTTTTCTATCCATCTAACCAAGGTTTCAGTCTAACGCTTCCAAAGCAGGGAAAATAAAGGATGGCAGTGTTTTCCGGATGATTCCGGAATGATTCCTGGGGCCGGAATTCTATGAATGAGAAATCAGGCGGGAGAATTCTTCCCAAAACTCCGGAGAGATGGGAGATTTGTTAACGGTGCGCACGGCTACACTGTGAGAAGAGTATAAAAACAACAACAACAAAAAACATGTATGCACTCACTAACTGTAAGTTGCTCTGGATAAGAGCGTCTGCTAAATGACTAAAATGTAAAATGTAAATGTAAGAGCCGATTGAGATTTTGGCCGTTTTTTTCCGCTGGGAGTTAAACATTTCCTGGAGAAAGCGTGTGTGTATGTGTTTTTGATGGTGTGTGCTGTGTGTGTGTATCTGTTGTAGCAGATTGGTCTACATGGCCCCAGGTGAAGGTAGTGAAGAGTGAATGGGAGATAAGGAGAGCTGGTGCTGGGAGAGTGGGAGTTGGAACACGTACAGACACACTCAAACACACACAGAAATGGTTCTCAACTTCTCCAGGGCGGTTCAAGGCCATTATTCATTTCAGCACCTTTCACAAATCATACCCAGTTGTGATTGGTCCATTGTCAGTGTTTGAAGCACACTGTGTTGCTCTCCTCCTTTTCTCTACTGTTGCACTATTCATTTCTGTTGTTGTCAGTCCTGATTTGTTTTCCACTCTGAAATCAAATATCCCCAAAGCAACACATCCCAGTAAAATATTCTAACACAATACAATATTTATTTGATAAACAAACATAAAACACTGAACTTTCCTATTCAGTGAGAAAGAATGAACAAATGCCAAACAGAGTTAGAAATAGGCACTCACTCCTAGCATAAAATAATCTGGCATCTAAATGTTGAATTTAAAAGTAGGCCATGATAGGAAGAAGTCATGCATTTCTCTCCCATCTCTCAGTTACACAACTGATGACATAACCAGTAAAAGTGATCTCTTTCCACCCAGGTCTCTTTGTATGTCCAATGTGTCTGGAAGTGTTCCTCTGTACATGTGAAAAGCAATGCAGTATTTATGGGTGGCTGGGGAGGACAAGAGTGTCTTCAGAAGGTGGTGGGAGAGAGATAGAAAAAGAGAGAGAGACTAGACGAGAGCAGAAGAAAACTGAGAGAGAGAGAGAGAGGAGAGAGAGAGAGAGAGATATAGAGATGGAGAGAGAGATATGTCGTATAGAGGAGAGCTGATTGGTGATAGCTTTTCTCGGATATGCGCTCGATTCTTGTCTGCGCTCTCTCTCTCTTCTCTCTCTCTCTCTCTCTCTCTCCTCTCTCCTCTCGCTCTCTCTCTCTCTCTCTCTCCTCTCTCGCTCTCTCTCGCTCTCCTATTTCTTCTCTCTCTCTCCCTCGCCTCTCTCTCTTCTCTCTCCTGCTCTCTCTCCTCATCGCTCGCCCTCCGCTCTCTCTCTCTCTCCTCCGCTCTCTCTCTCCCTCCCCCCTCTTCTGCTCTCTCTGTCGCTCTCTCGCTCTCTCTCTGGTTTTCGCTTTTTCTCTCGCTCTCTCGCTCTCTCTCGCCTCTCTCTCTCTCTCTGCTCCTCTCGGCGCGCTCTCTCCTCTCGCGCTTCTCCGATCGAGGGGACCTAGAGCTTGCGGCACAGGGTGTTCACGACACAACCCTTACTACCTATTTGGCATCTCCAGAGTCTGAGGTGTTAACCCCAAACATCCCTTCACCTAGCACTGTATATCAAGGGGATGGGCTTAAGACATGTGACAGTGTAAGTGTGTGTTGGCCTATCTACCATCGACCCTCTCCATCCATCCAAGTGGGTTCTTCAATAATTAAGAGCAGGTTGGCAGAGAGGGATGGGGAGAGTGTGAGAGAGATCTATATATGTATATATAGTACCAGTCAAAAGTTTGGACACACCTACTCATTCAAGGGTTTTTCTTTCTTTTTACTATTTTCTACATTGTAGAATAATAGTGAAGACATCAAAACTATGAAATAACACATATGGAATCATGTAGTAACCAAATAAGTGTTAAACAAATCAAAATATATTTTATATTTGAGAGGCATGGGAGGAGTGTGAGCAAGATGAAGAGCGAGAGAGAGAGAGAGGGAGAGAGAGAGAGAGAGAGAGAGGGAGAGAGAAATATAGTTTGTGAGAGACGTAGAGAGAGAGAGAGATGTAGAGAAAGACGTGAAAGCACTTTCGCATAGAGATAAGAAAAATCTGTGTGTGTGTGTGTGTCAGTATCTGTGTGTGTGTGTGCGTGTGTATGTGTGTGTGAGTGTGTGTGGGTGTATGTTTGTGTGTGTGTGTGTGTGTGTGGGTGTGTGTATGTTTGTGTGAGAATGTGTGTGTGTATGTTTGTGTGAGTGTGTGTGTGTGTGAGTGTGTGTATGTTTGTGTGAGTGTGTGTGTGTATGTTTGTGTGAGTGTGTGTGTGTGTGTGTGTGTGTATGTTTGTGTGAGTGTGTTTGAGAGTGTGTGTGTGTGTTTGTGTGTGAGTGTGTGTGTGTGAGTGTATGTGTGTGTGTGTATGAGTGTGTGTGTGAGTGTGTGTGTATGTTTGTGTGAGTGTGTGTGTGTGAGCGTGTGAGTGTGTGTGTGTGTGTGTGTGTGTATGTGAGTGTGAGTGTGTGTGAGCGTGAGAGTGTGTGTGTGAGTGTGTGTACCCTTGGTTGCTGTGTGGACATGTACAGACTGAGCAGACAGGATATTGGATTACAGATACCTGCTATTCTCCACTAACACAGCTAGTGAGAGAAATACATGCCTTCTGAGTCTTTCACTCACTGTGTCCCAAATGGCAACTATTCCCTACATAGTGCACTACATTGGGCCCTATGGGCCCTGG